TGCTGTGTAGCTGAAAGAAATTAAATAATAAATAATTTTGTTATGTCACAAGGAATAAAACCCAAGTAAGTCTGGATCTCGCAAGACTTTCTTCAAGATCTTCAAATCTGATAATTGTGAACTCACGTCTCATCTCTGATTTTTTTTCCAAGAAACTTGTACTGTCTTGTTATGTCTTTAATCCCAAAGCTTCAGTATTCCTGTCTCTTCAGCTTAAATTTATTCCTTGACTTGAATTTAAGTCCTAGTTCAGTGAACCTAAAGTTCTGGTTACATAATTTGCCAGACAGTAAAAGTTATTTAGAAAGTACTAAAAGGAAATGATGATAATGAACTTAAACAAATGTGTTTAAATGTATCTGAGTATTTATTTCAAAAAGGACTCATGGAGGTACAAATGTCTGTGTTGAACATGGTGCTTGTAACTCAGGGCTAAACTAACAGTACCAGCCTTTCCTTCTTGGCAGGATATTCAATGCTTCTGTAATTTAATATCTTAGATGTGTGCAGTAAAAATAATCTGGGTTACCTCAAGACAAAAAAAAAGGCTCTTTTGTTCCCAGAATCACAAAATATTCTGAGTTGGAAGGGAGCAGCAAGAATCATCATGTCCAGCTCTGCAGTGAAGGGCCCATATGTGGATCAACCTCCCAATCTGCCCTGACCCATGGTTATTGTTGCAGTAATTCAGAGATTCATCCAGAGACTAAAATACACTCCCTGAATTTTGTTCCAGTCCTTGTCAGCCAGAAATAAAAGAGCACTAAATGCACCTTAAGCACCACTGCAGTTTGCATAGGCAGATATTGGTGTAATTCTAGTCACTTGCTGCAGGTATTTGTAATAAAGATGGATTACAACTCCTTGTTTTCCTCATGTTTTCTGGGATACAGCTAATCCAAACAGATGCATCTGGACATTGCAATGAAGTAGTAGCTGTTATTTCAAAGCCTTTAAATTAGATCCTGTACAACAGGCAATTGAAAAAAAAAAATCATAGTCAAAAAATAAATTCAAACGATATGATACAGACACTGGAGACATAGGCTTTAAGATGTTAATTTTATCCAAAAAAAGGAAATAAATCTGGTCTAAACCCACTGCCATTTGTAAGTCAGCTGGAATTTTATCTGTTCCTTACTTTACTGTTTTTAAATCACCTTCAGTGTCATAACTAAACTATTTTTAAAGGGGAAAACTCAGTCATCATATGTTTAAAACCGGTAGAGAATATTCCAACTCACTTTTCCTTGTTTTTGGGTTTTTTTTTTTTTAATTCTGGATGAAATCTTTGAATCAATGACAGTTTGACATGTTATAGGATATGAGTCCCCCAGGGAGTTCTTTAACCCCCTGTCCACAATTTTGCCTCAGGTAGGAGTTTTATTCATGTTCCTTCATCTTTAAGGGCCAAAGTCTTTGACTTCAACTTTTTAAAGTTAATATTTGCTCTTATGTCATGCAACTGCTCATCTGCTTAGTTTCCTGGCTGTTCTCATTGCCTATATTTTTATTTTAATTTTAAATTATTTTTTTTTAGTGTTTTGCAGCAGCTTTCTGGCTCTTGCCACATTTCCTTCTCTGAGGTGAGGATGAGTATAGGGGTGATGCCTCCTGCCATCCAAATGAAATGTGATATGAAGAGTCTACAGTTTCCATATCCTTTCGCTCCTAATAAAGGACCAAAAGGCAATGTGATCGAAGCCAATATGAAACCTACAAAAGACTACAGATCCCCCTAAATATATGCACCAGAGCCTTGCCTCCCACCTTGCTGTAATAGTATTGCACACACATGGTTGTGATCTATCAAAAACTTCCCTTTTAGTGGTGCTATTACTTCCTAAATAAACAGGACCTAGATAAATAAATAAAACCCCCATGGTTTGTATGCATTCCTTGAATGGCCTTCACCCATTTCATGGATATTTGCACTACAGAAAGAAAAAGCATCATATAAGTTCAATAATAGAGGCATAAAATTCAGAAATTACTAAATTCCATTTTTTTTTTATATATCTTCTGAATACTTAGATTGTGATTCCATTTTAGCAAAAAAGCACTATTGAGCTGGGCGAAATTAGAGAAACTGTTGCCTCTCAAAACACTGGGTATTTCTGTGAAGGTTTTTTTGGTTGGGTTGGCAATTTCAGATAACAGTCTTGGTAATGAAAATGTTGAAATAACTTTAACAGCCCAAATGGCACCACTGCAATAAACTGCAGCATAAAAATTCAAACTCTGTTAGAGCATATAAGCTTGGCTTAAACAGAGCAAAGCCTTACTTAAGTATCATCTTTTTTATTTGTTTGGATTCAGCATATTTTGCAAACAGAAATGTGAGCTAATATAAAAAGAAGTAATGATTGTTGGGAGCTGAGTCCTTCCCTTTCTTTACATTAAAAATAGACTGTGAAACGGAGCGTTGCCTCAAAAACACCTCCAAGCAATAGAGGAATAATACAGCCACCCATAAAGCAACACATTATCAGAATCAGCTCCTTTAATGGCTTCATTTTCTTCTTCCCAAAGTCTCCCCCATAATGAGATCTAACAGACTCAATTCATTCACCGAGAACCAGAATTCTGGTATCTGCTTTAATTTTTTTTTAGGTAATTTTTGCCATCTTTATTTTCTTAAAGTAAAATAGGAAAAAAAAAAACCCTCAAGCAAGCAAACAAAAAAACACACTCCAAAAACAAAAAGCTACAAACAGACATAAAGAATTTCTTTTTCTCAAAGGCACAGCTCTACTTTACATCCTGGCTGTGACCAACAAAGCCATCAGCTCAGGAAAATGGTCTCATTCAGATGGCAGAGGGGACTTCAGGGACTTCTGCAGCCAAGATGAGTCTGTAATAACAGAGTTCCTAAAAAATTTTAGCTGGCAAATCCTTACTCTGAGCTATGATATTTCAGACTCATCTGCATCATAATCCAGCTTTCCTCTTGTTTTGTATTGTGATGCTTCATATTCTCACAAAACCTTTTTGGTAATCAAAAAATTATTCTCCAGTAAATCCCATGCACTGTGTCCTAGTGGGACAGAAATCAGTCATCATTCGCACATCAAACTGCTGTGCTGGAGTTAATATAAACTTCACAACACAGGTTTAACATCATCTCTGTGAATTACAAAGAGAGAGAGACACAAAGAGAGAGGGACAAAACAAGAGGTGGAAAGAAAAGGAGAGAGGGAAAAACTGCCAGTGGATTTTTATGTCAGATGAGGAGCCATTTGTGGTGTAACATCGCAGCTCTACTGCACAGACAAAATCCGGAACCACACGGGGCTTGTGAAACAGGAAAGGAAGGGGAGGCTGAAGGACCAATTTTAAGCTTTCTGCTGTTTTCCCTGATGTGATGAAATTGCTGAGGTGTGTGTGTTTGCCCTGCAATGTCCTGTTTGAGCTTAACCAGTACTTCTGCACCTCAGGGGCAACGTTTCCCTCTCCTTTTCAGTCCCTGAATTCAATCTCCAGGACAGCAAGTGCTGACTAACCTTACAAGAACATTGTGTATGGCCACACACTTCATCAGTGCAGCACTGAATGTCAGACTTGATGGTCTTGGAGGTTTTTTCCAACCTCAGTGAATCCATGATTCTGTGTGTTCGGGAATACATCCATCTTGTTAACCATCACTGAGGGTTTACTGAAGAAGGGACACAGCTCTAAGTGTTGCCTTTCTTTAGGGATGAATTAATCCAGCAGCCAAATTATTAATGGAACTGAAAAAGGAACAGCTCTACTAACAGACCTTTAAGTATCTGTACCCAGAGAAGCTGTGGCTGCCCCATCCCTGGGAGTGTCAAAGGCCAGGTTGGACAGGGCTTGGAGCATCCTGGGCTAGTGGAAGGTGACCCTGCACATGGCAGGGGGTGGAACGGGATGATCCTTAAAATCTCTCCCAGCCCAAACCATTCTGTTTTTATGATTCCATGCAGAAAGAGAGAAAAGGAGATGAGAACAGCTCACATTGTTGGATGGAGACAAGAATAGCTGACATGTGCATGCAGATCTCTGTGTGGAGAATGCTCTTGTCTTTTCAAGGCCTCTAAAGGTAAAGCTGAGGGAGAGGAAAACTGAGGGACCAGGAACTCACACAGAGGGTAAAGGAGCAGTGAATAAAAGCAACATAGAAAAAAAATTACTGGAAAAGGAAGCAAACTTAAAAGTTTCTGAGTAGTTTTAATGGCATTTATGGCTATGAGAAAATGTATTCTGTCCTGGTTTTTAATCTGTCTTTGATAAAACAACAGATTACTCCCCTCAGGCATATACTTTACCATATCCTGATAGCCATTAGCAGGTCATGTATTTTATTTGACTGTCAGCATTCTGGAAGAAACATTTGTGAAGGCTTTGTTGGCATTAATGTAATACCAGAATTTATCTGCACAGAGCCTGGTAAATAGACAGAAGAAGTTTCTTTCCAATGCAAACTGAGAAGCAGGATTTAAAGCAAAAGAATCTAGTATTTCCAATCTCATTGTATCTAGTCTGCTTTGGTACATGAGGGTTACATCAGGCTGAGAAAATGCAGCACAGAAACCCACGTGGTCTGGGTTGGGAGGGACCTCAAAGCCCCTCCAGTGTCACCCCTGCCACGGGCAGGGACACCTTCCACTAGCCCAGGGTGCTCCCAGCCCCATCCAAACTGGCCTTGGACGTCATTTGTGCTCTGCTCTTCCTCCCTGTGTGTCATGGGACTGCATCCCCCTCTGGGAGGACTGTGCCTCTGCTTGCCTCAGCTCCCAGATGGAGACACCAAAACAAGGGCTAAATTGCCAGAACAGTTCCTTCAGCTACTGTGTGAAAGGCAGGAAATGGCAGGTTATTTATTTGCTTCCATTACCACCATTAATAGTAAGCTGGGAATTCCTGTGTTTGACTTTATGGCCACACTCTGTTGGAATTTTTGCAGCTGAGATGTAGGAATGAATATCTGCTCATAGTTCTGTCAAGTTTTGCTCTATGCTCTTCATTTTTTTTTTCTTTTCCAACATAATAATGGAAAAAATCATAATATCTTGAACTATGTGCAGGGGAAAAAAGAATAATGGGATTAACTCAGTCAAAGCATTAGATTTATACAAGTACAGAGACTTCTATGTTTATTCATTATAAGAAACAGTGAATGTAATGGAATCACAGACTGGTTTGGATTGGAAGGGACCCTAAAGATATATATTTCCCATTGACAGCGAAAATATCTGCTTCTATGAATTAAACATTTTTCCAAATCTAACAAATGACCTCAGCTCAGTGATACCTGTACCCTTTTAGCTACAGCTTTGTGTTTTCCAAGTGCTGCAGGAGCATTAACAGCACCCTGTTAGCACAGCTAGGGTGATAAAGATGCCCTGAGCTGCCTATCCAGATTGTAGCTCTCACTCCAGTTTTCACCAGTTTCCTAACTGATGTCATTTTGCCAGATTGTACCCTAAAAGACAGCAAAGGATGTGCGCAGAAAGTGCTTCCAAAAGGGAATTCTGAAACACAAAAAAGAGACAAGGGAGCAGATAAACTTATTCATCTCTGATAGGCTCTGATAAAGCTCATCTCTGCAAGGCCTGAGCAGCTCAAAATCTCTACTCACTCTTACCAGGTTTATGTTTATTGCTATTATTTTAAAGGCATTGAGGGAGCAGAGGAGCAAAGGAGAAATGTCATATTACACACACAGACCGAGGGCAATTTTTTTGCCAATGGCTCTTAAATAACACAGTATAAACCCATTAATCCCATTCTCATTTTATCTTAAGTGCTAACTGCTTAACTGAGATTGATCCCTCTCAGGTAAAGATAATGGCCAGGGGATTTCAAGTAGCAAAACCCCCTATTACAGTAAATTAAATTTGTATAGCTGGACATTAATGGATTATTTTATTAGGCTAAGCACAGCCGATATTTAGTCCACTTTCTGAAATATATTATTATGTAGTCACTGGTTATATCATGGCAGGAATATTCCCACAAGAGGTACATTACCAGTGGAATTCAGACCAGGATCTCCCCTCCTCCTTGTGCAATGGTTGAAAGAAACAGAATCTGCCACCTGAACCCTCCTTCAGATAAAGAGAGCCCTGAATCATTACCTAAATTTTAATGAGTTTTGTTATTAAGTTCTGATCCTACATGCAGGCAAGCATAGCTCTTCTCTGAAAGCTTCACTTTGTTGTTTCATGTATAACAGTTTTTATTTTCCTTTTTTTAATGATTAATTCCAGTCCACCTCTTCTCTCCTGTGAAGGGACAACAAAAATTGTGTGTCTGGCTTTGTTGTCCCTTTGTCTGTCCCTTGTCCCTGTCAGTGTTCAGGGTGTAAGGATAACTTGTGTAATTCCAAATACACTCTGGGCTTGACCTGGGGACATGGACAGGCAGCACCTTTGTCAGGCTGATGGCTTTGGCAGCTCCAGCATTTCTTCACGCACCTTCCAGACACTCTGCAGGGGAAGAAAAGGGAAGGGATACAATGGCATCACTTTTAGCAGGTGGCATTCCCTTAATTTCCTAATTTATTTTATTCCTACTTTATTTTCTGTGTTTTAAACTACACAGGTGATTTTAAACTACAGCAGAAATTAGATGTATAACGTGCCTAGAAATTTACCTCTCTGTGCTCTGAGAAGCATGTTTATCTTGAGAGCATGGCTTGTATTTGTATCTGGATTTCCAAACTGTCACCAAAAACATCCTGCAAAATGTTAACTTGTAATATGTTTTCATACTTGACCACCTCCCTGTTTTTCATACAGGCTGACCAGCATTTCAGTGAGGATTTAAGGAGATTTCAGGTTATTTTACATAAAAGTATAATTATAAATTGAGAAAGTTGGGATTTTCAGACAAAGGAAATGCAGGAGCTCGAATACAATGCAGGCAAAACCAGAGATGAGTCTGTGCAGAGCTAAGAAAAGGCAGGCAAGGATGGAGCTTGTTGCAGTTCCTTCTGTCAAGGGAAGTGTGACCCCAATAAACACCAGGTGTGCAATTCCTGACAGAAACAGAAACAATGATCTTCTGCACAAGGCAGAAGTTAATAATCTTCAGCACAAATTCTAATCTGGTTACTAATTTTAAGGGATCAGCTGAACATGAACACAACTTACTGGTGCAGATGGCTTAATTTGTAGGCTTTTCCTAGCAGAAATGTGTGATCAGGAGCAAAGATTACCCTAAAAACCCCTCAAAGGAGAAATATCAATAATATATAGAAGCAAAATGCTGCCACAATTAAACAGGTACATTAATAAGTTTTAAACATCTTTAGACTGGAGCTTAGTAAAGGGTTTTTACCACCTTGAAGAGACTTTTAAATAACCTTTCAGCATTTCATACATTTTGGAAGTATATGCACTGTTCTGTTAATTTGGGGGAGGTCTGTAGGATCTGGTATGGTAACCCAGTCAGTTACTGAGAAGGCATCTTCTATTTCTATTCTTTTAAAAAATGAGAAAAAAGCTTGATTATGTTCAATGTTATATTTGGTTTTAGCAGCTTTCTTTGTGTAAAAGGCATTAACCAGATGCAGCAAAGTCCTAAGATTACTTTTTCCATACCATTTCTTCAAGTTCTATACAGTACATGTTGAATTATTTCTGACTGCTTTTCTAATCTTTAGTTTTACTTAGGCCATGCCTTCAAGACTTCTTGTTCATTGATTTTTCTCACATCTCAGAGGACTGGAAATCCTGTGGTGAGTGTTACTTACATGAAGAACAAAAAGAGGCTTTCACAAAATCTTGCGATAAGTCACATTGACAGGACCACGTAACTCCAGGGATGATTTTCATCATGAGCAATGATATTTTGTAAATGTGTGAGCAGGATTACCATTAGAGATATTAAAAACAGTATAAGCAACTCAGTGGTCCTTCACATTATTTCTAAGTGACAGTTTTTGAAATATTTATTTTTAATATTAATGTACAGAAGCTTTAATTTTTTTTTCCATTATTAAAAGTTTCATTTCCATAAGTTAATTTTTTCCTCACTTCCTCAAGCATTCCTGTATTGTCATTCATTACATGTACTTTTTGCTTGCATATGTTGTGTGAGTTCATTAAAAACACAGAGAAAAATGAATGGCCACACTCCTCTATAATTACATTTCTCTAGAAGTGCAAAATAATTGTAACTGCTTCCTGACCAGAAGCCTTTTCTCATTCTACTGATCCTTTTTGTTCTCCCCCCTTTCTAGTTTTCACATTCCTTTCTTCTGCATCACATTTGTTCCCTTTCTTTGCTACCTTTTGCCATTCCACTAAATATATTTTCTGCATTCCCACCATCCCTTAATGCATCCCATAAAATTTTTTACCCAATCCCATCCAACATCCCATGGCAGGGTCACACTTTTCCATGATACTTTTGTTTTTTCCCCTCTTACCATCCACAGATGTCTGTCTGACCACCTCCAAGATGGGGTTTGGAGAAACCTGGTCTGGTGGAATGTGTCCTGCCCATGGCAGGTCTGGATGGGTTTTAAGATCCTTCCAGCCCAAATAGTTCTGAGATTCTGTGATTTTATGAAGATGCTGAGAGGTCCCTCCTCTCCCCATCCATCAGGGATCTGAAGGAGAGCTCAGATATCCAATATTTTCTCCATAATTCTCCTGTTAGAGTTTGTCCATGTAAATGTCATCATTCCCTGCTTTGTCTCTTGTCTGTTTTACCACAGGAAAGCTGCTCACCAGATGTCTTCATTAGCCAGATACCTCTGCATTCCAAATATCCACATGTCCCTTTGCCTTCCACATCTCTTTCACCTTCTTCATGCCTCACACAGCCTTGAAAAAATAATAGATTTGAAAAGTGGGAAAAGTTGTGGAGTCTCCATCCCTGGAAGTGTCCAAGGCCAGGCTGGATGGGGCTGGGAGCACCCAGGACTAATGGAAGGTGTCTCTGTCCATGGCAGGGGTGGGATTGGATGAGCTTTAATGTCTCTTCCAACACAAACCATTCCGGGATTCTGTGACTCCATGAAAGCGAAGTCCTGGATACTTTCTGGAATACAAGTTTTTCAACTAGGGCTTGCAAATCCTACTTCCTGAGCAATTCTGCATTTTGTCACCAACAAACCCTCCATCCCCTTTTGCCATGAGGCTGCCCAGTGACGCTTTTAGCACCTACTTGTTTTTCTAAAGTGTCACTTCTGAGAGACAGGAAATGAATCTGGAATTAGGCTGGCCTAATTCCACAAATCTCTTTTTGCCAACAAACCACTCATTTAAGAAGAGTTGCAATTAGGAGCACTTAAGAGCTTTCATGATTAGGGATTCTGTTTGAAAATTCAGTGTAAGCTCATTATGCTGCTGCATATCATTACATTTCTAGGCAGAAGAGGGGACATTGTGTGCAAGTTGTTGTACAATTGGCTAATCCAGCCTCATTCACCACGAGAAGCGTCATTTGCTCAAGAGAATAATCACTTTTACAGCTGGCATGTCCATGAGTCAAAAGTACCTTTTGGTTCCATCCAGTGAATCTGTAGGAGCAGCAGAAGGGAATCTTTCTTGTGCAGAGGGCTGACTATGGAAGTGGCCAGCCCTGCTGGTGGATCAGTGAAAGAAAAAAATTAATAAAGTGGCTAAAAAGAGGTTAAAAAGTGGATAAAAGGGGTGCATGGTGGACAGCTCCTTTCAAAATGCAGCAGCAGTGAAAAAAGCATCGAAGTTCCCAATTTAAGAATGAGTTCAACAGTTCTTAACAAGTGTTGCAAGGTCACCAAGTGACCAAGCCAACCCAGAAATTAGGTTAATAACAGAGTTACACAGCAGCACCAAGGCTGCTGACTGCAGATTTAGCTCTGAGGTAAAAGAATTATTACTTATATTCTTCTGAATATTCATTTGACACTTGGCATCCTGGGCTCTCTTTTCCCCATTTTCCACTCCACAGCCTCCATTTCCCAGTTGCTCCAGAAGATTCTCCTTTTTTAATTTTTATTTCTTTTTTTTTTTCCCCTCTTTATATTAAGCAAGGTATTTTTCCTAAATGTATTCCACCTTTTGTCTACACAAACAATTGTCTTCATCTGTTTGGAATCTTCACACAGCTAAACACAATTCTCAGATATAATTCTCAGACGAACTTGCACAAAACAGAAGAAAACCTTTAAATAATGTTAACTTGGTACCATCATTACTGACCAGTTTTGTGAGGTACTTTAAGACTCTTCATTTAAGTAAACAGCTCTATTATTTTTTTCCCCTTGCTTTAAAACAAGAAGAAAGATGAAGTAGGACATGGAGAGAGTTGTTTGATATTTGCCTTCCTACAAGCCGACACAAAAGTACAAAATGTTGACAGATAATATCAGGAGAGTCTGGTGTTTGACTGAACTGAGTCTCTGGGTACATATTTTCTTACATAAGGTAAGAGCAGCTAATGGTTGAACACGGTGTTTCATCTGTTTTAAAACCACTGGGAGATCTACAGATATCCTATACAATGTTGAGTTTGCTCCCCAGTAGCGACCCATGATTGCTTCAGTGGGGCAGAAGGAACATGTATGAATCTGAATGTAAATTGCTCAGCAGCATTTGCAAATTATCTTTGTTTGTGATCTTTCATCATTTGCCTATTGAATATTTTCTCAGTAGGAAAACCAATTTTTCTTTCTTTCCTCTCATCTCTATTCATAAACAAAGGGTTAATGGTTGGAGTTGATGATCTTAAAGGTCTTTTCCAACCTAAAAATTTCTGTGAGCCTTTCAGAAAGAGCAGTAGAATTTTGAAATACATTATAAGAGCTATATTCTAGCCATACTACTCCCTTACTATTTCTACATATGTTTTTCTCTTTTCAGATCATATTATATCTTGAGCAGCTACCCTGAAAAATCCTATCTGAAGACATCATCAACCTTTGGGACACATTCTTTGGTACCTAACTCAGCTAAAAGAGCACAATGCCAAAGAATATTAAGTTGATTATTTTCCAGTGAACCCTCCTTGTGAAACCTCTTTTTGTTTTTGTTTTTGTTTTTTCCCCTCTAAAGAAGGGTAAAACATTAAACTTCAACATAAAAGATCTTTTTCTTTTAGGTAATAGTCATGATTGAGGAGTTGAGAGAGGGTTACAGGTTGGGTATTATGCATGCAAAATGCCATCAGTGCTTGTTGTTCTGCTGGGTAAATACTTTGTTCAGGATTTCTCAGAGCTGAGTCCTTCAAAATGAGATGAAAAAAAATATGGCTTCAAGTTCAAGGCTGTTTATCACCAATTCAAAACCTGGGGTTATTGTTCTCTCTCAATTTTATAATTATTCATTGAAACAGAAATATTTTTCTATTTGAAAATCCAGCCTAGAAGAATAAAACTGATGACAAAAGAGAATTAATTCAGGAGAGCACAGAGAGAAACTCATTAAAGGGCAACAGATTGATGGCATCTGTTAAAGCAGTAAATATATATATCTCCAAAGCAATAATGTTCATC